CCCCCCGGAGCGATGAGCTTACTTGCACTGAGCATGGAAATACTTGATCAGGTTCTGGAGCAGGTCCACCCCCTTCTTGATTTTGATCTCGTTCACTTTGAGAAGGTACTGAAAAACAGTCGCCAGAAAGAAGCGCCTTTATTTTCTCTTGAAGCACGGCTGCTTGGCTCAAAGTCACATCAACTCGCAACCCGGTGGAAGATTTCAGAAAAGACCGTGCTCACCACTAGGCTAAATGCAGAAGCATCAGAACATTTACTCTCGACTAACTATGCTTGAAATGATAGATAGGAATATCAACTGCTCAATATTACACTGATTTTTATCCTCGGGATATTTGGATTATTTTTTAATTTCAACTACCGATTTCTGAGTCTATTTCACGTAAAGGAGTTAATAAAATCAACACTATTCAAATTTCACTGTTTTAAACATGTTTAATGAGCATCTTCCTTCTGTCAGAGCAAGTGAACTGGGAAAAACTAAGGCTGCTGTTGGAAGAGGTGTTACTGGGGCCAGCACGGGGCGCTCACCCTGCGGTCTGTGTGGGTCCTGATGCCCCAGTATAGTGACAGGGACACTATACTGGTCCTATGAATGAGATATAATGTCCTATGAATGAGACGTAAAACTGAGGTCCTGTCTCTCTGTGGTCATTAAAAGTCCCAGAATATTAAAATACGCCCCTGGTCTTTACCAATCATGGCCTCCTAATAATCCCCATCTATGAACTGGCTTCATCGCTCTGCTCTCCTCCCCACTGAGAGCTGGTGTGTGGGGAGTGTACTGGTGCACTATGGCTGCTGTCGCATCATCCAGGTGGGGCTGCACACTGGTGGTGGTGGAGGGGATCCCCATTACCTGTGAAGCGCTTTAGAGTGGAGTGTCCAGAAAAGTGCTGTGTAAATCTAAGGATTATTATTCCCAATGTTCAAGAAAGCCGTGCGCGTAGCCACGGGCTTGTCCCTCCTCGACCCCCCCCCCCCACCGCGCACACCTCGCACATCTGCAGCTGGAAGAAGCGCCGCTCCTTCTCCATCTCCTCGGCGATCTCCGCCCCGCTGATCTCCGTGCGGATCATCCCGTGCTGCCGGGCGTGCTCCTTCTTCTCCTTCTCGATCTTCGTCCTGCGGGGCGGAGGGGGGAGAGAGAGATGGGAGACGGCGGCGGTCAGCCGGACCGCGAGAGGACCGACACCGCACACGCGCGGCGGCCAAACCAGAACAACACGTCTGTGCCGACATATCCCATGCAGCATCATCAGGGAAATCTGGGACATTCCTGGAAGAGCCCGTACTCTCCAGGAGCCCCCAGAAAAATTCGGTATTTTTCCCCACGTTGTAGAGGGATAAAAAAAAAGCAGAACTCCATACCGACATGCACACATCACAGCTCTATTAACCTTCAGTGCAGCTGTTCGTGAAAAAGGTTAATAAGGCTCTTAAAGCAGAGCAGCAGCCCGACTCGCCCAAATCCTTCACAACCTGAATCGATTCCGCGAGGCTTCAAGGCCATTCGCAAACGAGACGCTACCAGTCACAAGCAGCCTCCGTGCATCATATTTAAGTACTAGTTAAAAAACAAATCTATAGCCACCGCTGCGCATGTCTTGCTTAGCCATTTGAGTGAACTTGAAGAAGGACCTCAACACAACCATGACAGAAGATCACACGCCTCTTTCGTTGTGCAAATTTGTCGTTTTTAGTACCGTGATTCACGTACCAAAACCGTTTCCTTCAAGCAAGTCACTCTGTTTTGTTTTGAAAAACGGTCGCTCATGAGTACACAGAAGTACACATTGTTACTTATTGTAATATTCAGCCCCTATGCAGTAAATTGTGTTTTCTTCTGTGAAAGTGAATTCATTTCCTTAATCTGATCTTCATATACATTTTCAGCATAAATTAACAGACTGATGAAGGAAACGGAAAATTACCCTTTCAGTAAAGAATGTCCTTTGCAGCTTGTAAAATATATACACAAAGAGCTATAAAATAACTTGCCCAACATTCAACGCAAAAGTACAACAAAATGAATATGTATACTTTACGACACATTAATTTGTTTGGGCAGTCTTACAGTAAGCAACCTGAGAGAGATAGTTTGTAGTGTGTACATATCCCTTACCTTGTCCACTTACCCAGTAAACAAATTAGTACTTTCTGAATCTATTTCACGATTAGGATTAACATGGTCACATACAGTGTTGTCTGTAAGTATTTGGACAGTGACACATTTTTCGTTATTTTGGCTCTGTACTCCAGCACATTGGATTTGAAATGAAACAATGACTATGAGGTTAAAGTGCAGAATGGCAGCTTTAATTTGAGGGTATTGACGTCTATATTGGGTGAACCATATTGGAATCACGGCTCTTTTTATAGAACTCCTATTTTCTCTTTAGAATGTCCACTTTAGTCATCTGAACAAGCTTCTGGCTGAAAAATCCAAGCAACCTTCCCAGAACTGGATACCTGTGTGCAGCTGCCTTTACCAACCCCTTCAGTTACCTGAACATATCGAAACTGGATATGAAACTGGACCGCAGCCATGCCGGTCTGTTCCTGATCTCTGATGTTTACTGTGTTCAGGAACAAGTAAAGCTAAAATTCCACTATTTGCTGAAAGATAGGAAGGTGAAACTAAATGTTTTGGCCGTAGAGCCGAGAAGCCTTCACACCTATATAAGGATCTGGTCACCTGCCTGTCGAAAATGGCCCAGGGCCACCAGCAGGGTTGAGAAAAACACGTTGTGCTGAAGATACACTGATGAGGAAAGAAAAACTACGTTTGATCAATCCATAATCCTTGCGAGAGCTCCTCCTCAACGTTAATAAATCAGACTTTCCAAGGCTTGTTCTGCTGACACAGAAAACGGTGGCTGGAAAAGGCAGCGATGATTTATGAGTAAAACATCGATCGTGATCAATATCATCATGGGATAAAACAGACAGCAAATAAAAATGCAAAACATTTAGACGTAAGGAGCAAAGTCAGATATCGTGTATAAATCAATACAATAAAGTGCAAGCTGAACAGGATCTACAAGAGTTGATGTCTTCACTCAGCCCTCTTGCTCATAGTAAGGAAGAGTCTCCGGGGAGGAGTTCACTGACAAAGAACAGATCTTGCTACAGCAAAAAACCAAATTACAATTTTTTCGTAACATACTGTAGTGGGTTAAAAGGGTACTGCAAGGCTATCTTTATATTTCGGGGTCAGAAAGAATCGGCACTGATGGGTGCCTTTCAAAGTTTGAAAGTGAAATGTACACAGTAACTTGTAAAACCTCCCATTTATGTCACAAAACAGACTAAGTTTCCAGGTGTGCGCAGCGCCATGTTTGCTCGGCGATTATAGAACGAGGCAACAAAACTTCCAGTGATGTGAAGCGGCTCTGTTGCACTGTAAACAAGCACGCTTGTGAAGACATCTCTTTAAATCCAATAAAAATATTGCTCTCAACCTCAAGACAGGTTTGCTGATAAATAGAACTTACTTGTTAACTGCTGATCACAATGGGAGCTTTCTGTGCTAAAATACCTGCTGCGCAAACTGCACTTAATTTGCTCGTTCATCACATTACATTACTAATTACAGTGACTAGTGAGCAGGAAGGGCCGCATCACTTCGCTATTCGCCTGAACTCTCTTGCTTGTGGCAACACCTGGGCTTTGCAACATGGCGATTTACAGTACTTTCACAAAATTCAAGATTTCTAATTTTTTTCCTACAATGTCAATTAATTTATTTTGTTACCAAGACTCAGTAACTGGCCTGAGAAATTGGGACTGCAGCTCCCTTTCAAAACCAAGAAACCCAGCAATACACACTAGACACTGGTTAGTTTTTCAGCTGCCCCTTCGTTAGACTCACAGAACGAGCATAGTGTTTTTTAGTCTGTAGATGTTTCCTACCAGTCCTGATATTTGCAATACATGTATTATTGAAACAAAATGAAGAGAAGCACAAAGAGGGTCTTACACTTTTGTTTCATAGTCTTTCCAGGCCTTATCAAAAGGCTTTTTCAGATCCTGTAAAAAAAAAAAAGAACAGTTTTAATACATGTCATTTAGCACAGCTTACAATGATTAACAACCCATAAGGCATATTAGAATGACAGAATAAAGCAGTGAAAAATTCACCTGGAATTTAAACTAAACATAATAAAGACGTGGAAAGTTCTCCACAACCGTAAAATAAAATAAATATCTGTTGCTCATTTAAAGCAAAAAAAAAAAGGCCTCATGTAAAAGACTCAGTTTTGGTCACCATATCACAGAGAAAATATGATATACAGCCTTTCGAAGAACAGCAACAAAAATGATTGCTTGTGTTGGGGAGATGCCGGACACAGCCGGTGTGAATGAGGCGAAGCTCTTCCATCTTGAGCAAAGGAGACTGACAGGAGATGTGGTGTGCAAAATCCTAAGGGGTGTAGATAGGTTCAACCCAAGGGACTGTTTCACACTCCACACTCCCGTCACCATTGGAAACGCAAGGAGAATTCACCAAGGGCAGAGAAGAGCAGAGGATTCCCAGCCGGGTGTTTGAGGCCCAAACTCTGAGCACCTTTAGAAATCGGCTAGACGGAATTTTAGATTCACTCAGTTACTAAACTACCAAACAAACAAAAAGATGACCAAATGACCACCCTCCCCCCCCCCCTCTCCATTTGCAGACTCTAATTAGGACGGTTTATAATTTCTCCTCGCCAGTGTGAAAAAGGCACAACAGCACAACTTCACTTTGTGCGAGGCTTAAAGAAATGCAGGATGGGGAATTATGATACCACTACTAGTGGTATCAGTGGGTGGTACTGCAATACTACCATGCATAACACAAATTAACTACAAGGGGTTGTGGCAACAGCACAGAGGATTATAGGACGTGATTCCGCATCAATCGGTGAGATCCACAACATCCACTGTCGCAATACAGCCCAATCCATCATTCAGGATCCCAGCCCTCCCGGCCACAAACTGTTCTCCCCCCTGCAGTCTGGCAAGCAGCACCGCACTGTGAAAGCGCCACTAGACTCAAGAACAGCTTCTACCCTACTGCAGTGTGCATCCTTAACAGCCAACTCTGCAGTGCCTCATGTTGGTTTTTTCCCCTTTCACTACTACGTATTTATTATTCTGGTTGTATTATTTATGATGTTTGTAATGTACTGTCTACATCGTGTGATGTTGTCTGCTGTACTGTGTGTGTCTCAAGAAATTAGTGTGAATAAGAGTTCCAATGCACACTCAAGCTGGGCAAGCTACTCTTTCACAGCAAAGCAGGCATTGGAGTTACTTGGAAAAATATTTAATTATTCATAGCATATTACAAAACTGTTTGCTGAAGGATGGAGAACAATTTGTCTGTCTCATTAATAAAATAAGGTATTTTATGTTAAGAGGCAATTAACTGAATTTGAATCCATTTTATTCATTTTCATTATATTAAATGTCCACTGTGTCATTTCGATTCTGCTTCGGGAAGAAACAACGTGACCTTCATAGACGGAGTAAAATGGAAATGAACCAGTTTAATCATCAGCACAATGGTATTTCTGGAGTTCTTTTGTCATTTCCACTTTCTTCTTTACAAGCAGAGAAATACAGACCATAAACAGCTCAGCCAATCTCATAGTTTAAACACTAACACACGTACAGGAAGAAATCATGATCAATCCATTGAAGCACAGTTGTATTTCCATGTTGTGCTTGGTTGTGGCATCAGACACATTCCAAGTCAAGCGACAGCTCCAAGTCAAGTGTCTGCTCGTTTCAAAATGACATGGCTCTGGACTTCCATCTCTGGAACTAATAGCACCCTCTGTAACAAGCTTCTGCTCCTTGCAAGCTTTGGTCCGGCATCGACAGCGGTTTTAGGTCAATACCTCCGGAGTGAGAGGCACAGGGACGTCTTCCCTAATTGTGGTGAGGGTTAAAGGCCGAGGATGAGAAGCCAATTTCGTACGGGTCGTGGGAAGGGAAAAATATGAATATAAGCTTTTCCTTCCTAACGAAATCGGGCACTACGCCTCTGTCCGAAGGTCGGAGGCGAGGTTCTGTGCCGAGCTCTGAAGTAGCTGCGTGAGCGTCTTTTATAGCCCTCCCTCAGGTCGATCGTCTTTGACGCAGGATTCCCCCCCCGGGTATCAGCGCTCCGGGGTCTGAGCGCAGCGCCTGGGCCTCATGAGTGCTCCACTGGTGACTAGCAAATCTTCAGGTGAAGACTAGTGACCTTGTAATCTCCGAGCTCGGCTCAATGAGGGACAGCCTTCCCAATTCCCTTCCCTTAATTAAACTGGCGGAAATCGCTCCTGTGGAGTGACACCGAGTTCTGCCCTTGGGATGAGAGGTCATGGCTCGTTGGCCAATAATAATAATTATAAT